TCATCAAAGACATGAATTCATGCATCAGGTCATCATTTATGACATCCATATACATGTATGGCGCTGATATACTCAAAATTGACATTATGGTGCTAAAATTCATACTAACCAAACATTTTCAAGCTACTTACTGATGAAATATTGCATTATATTTCTTGCCACATGTCATTAAGTTTGCATACTGTTGTAATCATTACTGGTATTGCGATCTTGGGGTGTGATTTTAAAAGAAGTTCATGGCAAGATGATGGTAAACATAATTCTATAAACATGATGCAAATGTCAAGTTTTGCATCATCCTTTATTTTTTTGTTTCTCACTTTAATGATTACTTTATGACACTACATTTAATGTTTTTTTTAGTTTGTGCTTATTTGCATTTTGTTGTATTCACTTGTATGTATTGATTGATAATTATTCATTGGTTGCAGGGAACTTATCAGAGATTTGAAAATGATGATAGGGAAGTAGTTGTGCAAGATGATGTAAGTTATTTCAATTCCAGTAAAATGAAAGCCTTAACTGTTCAATAATATTTATACATTTTGTGGTTCAATATCATTCAATTTTAAATGCAATAAATCTTTCTATAAACTATTGAGGAAAAAAAGTTTGTGCTATTTAATTATGATTATGATTATGAACTATTTTTTCTTTTACAGTTTGATTTCAGTGATATATTCATTCATCAGTGTATTCACACCATAGAATACTGTCTTGGTTGTATCTCAAACACTGCTTCATATCTACGGTTGTGGGCTTTAAGTCTTGCCCATGCTGGTAAGTTTAATCTTTAGTCAAGAAATATTCATTGCTTTATACAGTCCTCTAATGATTTTTTGACCTGCTTGCTAGGATCACAAAACATCTTTCGTCATTACTTTCAATATCCATTTGATGAAATAACTATTCCTATAGTAATGTATTGGCACTAATAATATGTTTACATAAAGCTTTAGAAATTAAGAAAGAAAAATTCCCACAGTAAAGAATTGTTTTGTTTTTTATTGTGTAATTCAGTATAAAGTAGCCTGCTGTTCTTAAGCTTTTATTGGCCATAGTGCAAAAATGAAATGTCTATATTCTAAATAAAGCAAATATGGTAACATAACATTTATTTATGCATATTAATGAGATCACATGACCTTATGCACCAACATCTTTTAGCTTTTATACTCCTCTGCTTATACTCTGTTTCTCGCCAAATTTGAATTCAACATTATATTGTAACTTGGTTTCAGTGTTTGAAATTATTGCCCACTCGTACAAGTATCTTTCAAGTCAGCTGATGAAAGTTAAAACTTTCATGTCTAAGTTTCATGTCCTGTTTCAATTTAAATTATGAAAATTCATTATTTTAGATTCTCACTCTAAATATCCAGTATATTGTGACGAATTTCAAACACAGGAATCCGTCTTTTCTGATGTTCTAACATCATATAATAATGGAATGTATTTGTAGTTGGGTCATGAATTTTTAATTTATGCAAATAAGAATTTCTGTTGCAAAAAATCAATACATATTCTTAATTGCCTTCTTTTTGTTTCAAGAATTATCGTTGGTGTTATGGACAATGGTTTTAAGCTTGGGATTGAAAATGGATAGTTATGCTGGAGCTTTTGCAATTTTTGGTTTATTCGCATTCTGGGCTGTGCTGACTGTTGCTATATTACTAATTATGGAAGGATTGTCAGCATTTTTACATGCCCTTCGTCTTCATTGGTAAGTGACCAGAATATAAATTAGCATTATCTATTAGAATATGTGCTTAAAGGAATGATCCAATATATTATACATGCAATTTTTGAATTACTTGATTTATGTATTTTGACTAATAGATATTACTTCAAATAGCAATGGAATAAATTACCACAAATAGTTGAAAATATTAGAGATAAATTGAAATATAAACAGATATATGTTTATATGTTCAATATAAACAAAACAGTAAACACACACATCCCACATGTTGCAAAACAGTACACATGTCCCACATGTTGAAAAATAGTACACATGTCCCACATGTTACAAAACAGTAAACACACATCCCACATGTTGCAAAACAGTACACATGTCCCACATGTTGAAAAATAGTACACATGTCCCACATGTTACAAAACAGTAAACACACGTCCCACATGTTGTAAAACAGTACACATGTCCCACATGTTGAAAAATAGTACACACATCCCACATGTTGCAAAACTACACATCCCACATCCCATATGTTACAAAACAGTACATGTCCCACATGTTACAAAACAGTAAACGCACATCGTATATGTTACAAAACAGTAAACGCACATCCCACATGTTGCAAAACAGTACACATGTCCCACATGTTACAAAACAGTACACATGTCCCACATGTTACAAAACATTAAACGCACATCCCACATGTTACAAAACCATTCTATTCCCTGCCGCAGTTCGATCTGCGTGTTGTCAATTTTTGCGAATTTTCTTTTTTTTTTGCCAGGGATATCCTGGCAAACGCCCACCCCTATTTTTTGGCAATTTTCCATATTCAAGACCCTGGACTTATACCCAGATAAATACAGTAGATCCAATTGTCAGCACTCATGGATAAATGGTTCATACCATTACGAATCTCAGTGGAAACTGTAGAGGGGGGTCAGGGCTACATTTTGATGGTAATTATAGTAGTGATACTGAAACAAACCTAGGTCCTGGTAATATACAAAGACCTGAATTAACCTGTTATTAATGGTACATCAAGGTTTACTCACTGACAGATTTATGAATGCAGTTTCTTGAGCATTTATGTGACATAGTTTGGTTGCACTCTGGTGTACTCTGAGATTTTGAACATGGGTTGCATGGAAGTTTTTAGTTATCAGTACAATACTAGATTATGTGGGTACAACTGTTTGCAGATGTTCTATGTATTATTTTAACATGAGTATTTTATAATTAAATGACAGGGACGGTGACAAGAAGATGAAAAATGGGTTGGGTGTCTATTGGCTTTTGTGTAAAACATGCTGAAAGTGTGAATCTTGAGGACTACGATAACACCATATTTTATTAATTTACAGGGTGGAATTTCAGAATAAATTCTACAGTGGTAATGGTCACCTGTTTATTCCTTTCTGTTTTAAAACAATCCTAGAAGAACAAGAAGATTAGATTAGAAAGCGTCCTTCATTAGAGATGTTTGATTTCTTATTATGTTCACATTTTAGCATATTTTGACATATTGTTGCATGTGTCATATGTTGAGGTGATACCATATTGTTGTTTGGTAGGATTCTGACATATATGTTGACATGATACTGTTTGTAACATTTGACCAAATATTGGACACATGGATGTATGATAAAATTTAGACATTTTAAAATGTTTTATGTTATCATATGTTGACATTTTGAAATGTGTCCTTGATCCAGTAATACATCAAATGTTTTTTTACTAATTAAATTTTAAAAAATGTCTAATTTAATTAGTTGAACTGCACAGGATTCAAATATAAAGTAATTTTGAATAATCCAAGAACAAATATGAGGGTATTTGTCTATGTGATAGTAGCAATTTTTTAGATTTGTGTTGACATATGTCACTGATAATTTTGTATTTTGTTTAATTTGTTCTTAAGACACCCACATAACTTCTCTTCTATAACATACACTCTCCTATTAATTTCCAAATTCTAATGACACCTCGTGTGGAGCAAGTTTAGACAGAATCATGTGTCAAGAAACACTTTAAATTCTTGTCATTCATGACAATACTGTCATACTAGAAAGCTATTATTACTCTTTTTTTTAAATAGCACATGTCTCAACTAAGTCTAAGGACATTGAATTAACTAAGAAACATCTAGTAATCTAAGAATGACAATTCATTCAGAATCAACTTTGTTTAAATAATAAATAATAAAAATAATTATACATAAAATTTAAACAAAACAAAAATTGTTTGGATTTTAATTTGAGAAGCATAAAAATATACTCTTCTTTGTAAATTTAACCTTGTAGTTTTGGAATACCATATAAACATCATTATTATTGCTACAATACATGGACATACTTAGAATGCAAATTATGGACTACTTGCTCATATCCCAAATGATTCTGAAAATGCTGTTTTTCTATTTTCATTTTGTTTCAATATTTAAATCTTACTTTTACTTTTCTGTCTTGCCTGTCAAATTCATTGATCCATTGTACCAGGACAAGTCAGCTAGCCTGATGCCGATTGAATTTAATTCTTCTCTAATAGTCTCTTGTGAACATGTAAACTACATTTAAAAAATGGGGTCGAAAAATAAATACATATCACAACTTTTGATTTCAAAAGTATTTCCTCAACTCAATGTCATCAGTTTGTAATTAATTGTAACAATTCCCATACCCAAAAAATAAATGGTATTAATCAAATTTCTGATAATTTATGAAGTGTACAAACCAGGAA